ATTTTAAATTAAAGTTTTAAACTCTCAATTGAATGTTAAATTAAAATATGTCGTGGATTATTACCATTAAATTACAAATGCAAAAAAATTAAACGAATCATGAGCGGTTGGTCGCATAATGAGCACACAAAGAAATAACCTCAGCAGCACACGATAGCTGCAGTAAAATATAAATACCATTTCGAGATTTATGCAAAAACATATATTAAAATCAATTTAATCTAGTTTATTTTCAGTTTAAGATTCAGAGATTCGAAAAAAAATTCACTAAATAAGAAATTTTAAATTCGATTTTGTTACATTTTTGTGTTTTCTGCTATACATAAACGAACTTAGATATAATTTAAAGAAAATTTAACCTTTCGATCTCAAATTGTTGACAATATTTAAGTATTTAATTATGTGAGTTATAGAATCTTTTATTTTATCTTAAATTAAAGTATATAAACTTTCGGCTACAACATCTGAGATCAACTCTCGGCACACCTTGACCTATTCAGAGATTGTAGTCGATAGAACGGCTACCAATGATCTTCACAATGATGGTGCATCTATTAGTTTAATCTTTAATTTAAGCTAAAATTGAAGGTTCAATCTGCTATGGTTTTCTAAGCTAGTGTTTTAAGGTAAAAGAACCTGTTGTGAAACAACTTTCTAAGTATGAAAAATAAAACCTTAAATGCATATAATTTAAAATAGCAAAGTAAACTAAATATATATATATATATTGATTTTATATACATTAAAGTTGTGTATAAGTTGCAAAATTTAAGAAACAATTTAACAAAACTTAAAAAAATATTTTTTCCTTTTTTTTATATCTTGCCATGGAAAAAAAATTTTTACTTGAAACAGCGATAAGTTTCACTGGGACAGCGATATGTTTTTACTAAAATAGCGAAAGTTTTCGCTATTTTAGAGAAACATATCGCTGTTTTAGATAACGATTTTCTACCGCGTGGTGAAGGCTAATAATCTATCAAAGTTTTTAAATTTATCCAATTTTTATAAACAAATAGTTTATTTTGCTCTTTGAAAGATTTTCTACAATTCTGTTCGTTGAATTTGTTTAAAAGTTAATAAACAAATGAAATTTCCATTTTTGTATTAAAAAAAAACCGTTATTTAAAAAAAAAATTAGAATTGTAGAGAATTTTCCAAAGAGAAAAATGAGTCATTGTTTATGAAAATTGGATAAAAATTAGAAATGTTTACTAACTTTTAAGAAAAAACACTTTTAATTCAAAATAGTACAACTGGGGTACAAAAGTACCCCATAGAAAATTCAAATTACGGCCCTGGTTCAGTAAACTTAACTGTCATGGCGGCACTCTAACCGTAATTAAGTTTAATCGAACTAATAATTTTTTTAGTTCTGTTAAAAAAATATTTTTTAGTTTGAGGTTATGTTAATAGGTTGAACCTACTTAAATTATTTTTTTTTATTTCAACGTAATTTTGTCCAAAAAGTGTAGTAACTAAGTTTTTTAAGGTTATGTGATTGTTGTGATTTCACATGTAAATATTCTCCGCAGGTTTTCTCGCAAAATATTTGATAGATTGAGTTAAAATTTAATAGAGAATTCAAAAATACTATAAGGATTCTTTGTCATGTACCAAAGTCTATTAATATTTTGTAAAAAAATAAATAAATTTAAAATTAATTTTTATTAAATTTTTGTTTATGTTAAAAACTATTTTTGAATTTTTGAGGTTATGTCAGAGCCTTCATCCTTTTTAATAGAATTATTTGACTTAACAAACATCCGTTAAAATCATTGCGGGTTTAAAAATTACAGTAATTATTATAATTTCTGCTAAAATGGCTCTACCGGATATGTTTATTATGTTAAATAATAATAATTAGGAAAAATCAATTTTTAAATTAATAAATAACAATTGATATAAATAAAAATTTATATGATAATTATAGTAAACAAATATTGCTGTAAAAATTATAGGAAATAATTATTAAGCGGCAATTAGAGGTTACGACAAATGGAGATTCAAATGTAATTAAAATTCTAGAAAACGGTTATTCGAGGAATTGATTTGTAGTTTTAATTTTTTTTAAATATTTCATTCAGTATTCACAACCCCCAACTAAATTTAATGGAAAGTATTTTTTTTTTCTTTTGTAATACTGTTATACGTAATCAAATTATTTATAACATGTGATATAGAAACTTCATGAGGAGAAATTTCATTAAAAGAATCGACAATTTAAACATGTCTAACAAGACGTGAGAAAGTAACACGCAGTACAGTATCACGATATATAGTGGGAAAAATTTGTCAACATCCATTCTATCCTACACTCTAAAAGATCTCATGCTCAGAGAAAAGAGTTAACTTTAGATTTATTTTCCTTTTTTCTTATTATTTATTTTTTAATAATTATTTTAATACTAGCAAAATTAAACGCGTGCAAGCGCGCCAAATTCAGTATTTAATTGTTTGTTATAAAGAAATTAAAGATTAATATTATCAATAATAATTTAATTTATTAGAATATTATTACATATTAAATGATAATAATGAAAATTATATGTTTACAGGCCTCGGATTATACGACTTTTTCCGACTTTTTTCAAAAATACGACTTTTATCGACTTCTTTTAATAAAATGCGACATTTTTTTTTTACATTTGAAAAAAATGTAAATAAAATACATTTTTTTTAGTATAAAATGTAGATCTTCTTCAGATCTTCTTCAATTCAATTATTTAACAAATTTTGAACTAAAATGATTCTTCACTAAATTAATTATTTTTAATAATTTTAATGAAATACATCACAAATTCAATTATATCAAAATTATTTTTCAATTAAAATTTTTATGAAATTTAACAATTGTTTATAATTTAAAAAAAAATATCACAATAAAATTGAATTATTTTTCAAAAAATTTCAATTCAAAATAAACTAAAATTCAATTATTACCCGAAATTTTAATTCAAAATCAATTAAAAATCCAATCATTATCCAAAATTTTCAATTTAAAATTTAATTATTTACCAAGTTTTCAATTTAAAATGAAATAAAATTCAATTATTTTCTAAAATTTCTATTCAAAATTAATTATCCAAATTTTCGATCAAAAATGAACTTAAATTAAATTATTATCCAAAATTTCAATTAAAATTCAATTATTTCCCAAAAATTTTCAATTTAAAATCCAATAAAATTTCATTATTCTCAAAAATTTGAATTCAAAATTAATTGAATTTTCAATAATTTAAATTTAAAAGCATCTAAAATTTAATTATTTCTAAAATTTTCCATCGAAAATTTTTTTTTTTTTTGAAATTTAATAATTTCAATTATAACTCTAAGGAAATTTAATTATTTTTAACTATTTTAATAATATTCTTTGAAAATTCAACTATATGAATTCAATTATTTCAAATTATTTTTCAATTAAAATTTTTATAAAATTTAACAATTATTTATAATTTTAAAAAAATATCAAAAAAAATTACCAAAAATTTTTAATTCAAAATCAAATAAAATTGAATTATTTAAAAAAATTTCAATTAAAAATCAGCAAAAATTCAATTATTATCAAAATTTTCAACCAAAATTTCAATTAAAATTCAATTATTGCCCAAAATTTCAATTCAAAATCAATGAAAATTCAATTATTTTCAAAATTTTCAATTAAAAATCAAATAAAATTCAATTATTCTCAAAAATTTCAACTCAAAATTATTTATTATTAAAATTTTCAATCAAAAATCAACTAAAATTGAATTATTATCCAAAATTTCAATTAAAATTCAATTATTTCCCAAAATTTTCAATTCAAAATGAACTGAAATTCATGTATTTTCCAAATTTAAAATCAAATAAAATTTAATTATTCTTAAAAATTTGAATTCAAAATTAATTGAATTTTCAATAATTTAAATTTAAAAGCATCTAAAATTTAATTATTTCTAAAATTTTCCATAGAAAATTTTTTTTTTTGAAATTTAATAATTTCAATTATAACTCTAAGGAAATTCAATTATTTTTAACTATTTTAATAATATTCTTTGAAAATTCAACTATCAGAAACCATTTTTCAATTAAAAATGATTTTCAAATTATTGTATTTTGTCCGCATTTTCTAATAAATTTTTAGTGAAATCATCTAAAATTTTAATTACAAAACACTTAAAGTTTCAATTAATTTCAAAATTCTCAATTTTAAATCTTTGAAAATTCAATTAAATTTAAAAAATGTTTTCCAAAAATTGTTTGATAAATTATTTTTAGTTCTGTAAAATTTAATAATTGTTTGAAAATTACCAATATCTTTTGAAATTTAATTATTTCTAAAAATTTCAACTTTAACCCTTCGAAATGGATTATTATTAAAAAAAAATTTTTATTTAAATATCTGTTAAAATAAAAAACAAATCCACTTTTTTTGGAATATAAATCGACTAAAACGACTTTTTTGCGTCTTTAAGTTGATTCGAGGTCTGTGTTTTTATAATTAATATTTAATAGGTATTCGTTGGCCCCTGGTACCTTAAAAATTAATTTTTAAAAATAAATTTTTTTCAAATTACTATCTTGTACGAAATTTCCTGGCGCATCTTTTTTCTCATGATAAATTTTTTGTATTTGTATACAATTTTTGAGTGAATATACAACTTTAAAAAAAATTTCGTTGGTAAACGTTGTGTACTTCAGCTTCGTGAATTGGAGTTTCGAATTTGGAATTTTAAAGAAACTTATTCCGAAATTTGGAAACACAATTATACAACTTTGGCAAAAATGAGAAAAAGAATTGTCAAAATTTTACACGTCATAAGATTACTATTCAAAAAAACACGTGAAATCAGAAAAGGCCAACTTCAAGTTAGGACAGAAGGACAGACCAAGCATTTTATTATTATATAATTTTTAATAAATATTCTCTTAAATTTTCAATTTGTTAATTAAAATAAATTAAAATTTGTGTATTATTAAAATTTTTTATTAACACATGATGTATATAATTGTTGCAGGTTTTCGAGGAGAACATTGCGAAGAAAATATCGACGACTGCATCGGTAACCTTTGCCAAAATGGTGCGACATGCATGGACAGGGTTAATGAATACTCATGTTTATGTCCAGCAGCATTTACTGGTACACAGTGTGAATTGGACGTTGATGAATGTTCCGTCAGGCCATCATTATGTCATAATGGCGCAACTTGCACGAATTCACATGGCAGTTATTCTTGTATTTGTGTCAATGGTTGGACTGGTCCCGATTGCAGTGTCAATATTGATGATTGTGCTGGTGCTGCATGTTTCAATGGAGCAACATGCATCGATCGCGTTGGCAGTTTTTACTGTCAATGTACCTATGGAAAAACAGGTACGTCAAAAAAAAAAATCTTCAACAATATCTTGTTTGGAGACTTTCCACGGAATTACAATCAGATTTCAAAATTAATTAATTAAGTACCACATTGGGTGGGCAACTTTCAATAAATTGTTGGCGTTGGATGATTGGCTGATAGAAAGATATTTGACTGAGTTGGCATCAAATTCATATGATTTATACTTGAACTACAATGAAATTATGGAAGAAGAAGAAAGAAAATTAAAAGAAGAATGATGAATAATTAAAAAAAATGAATTTATTCATAAATTAAGAAATTCATTCGTTTAAGGAGGCATTGAATTTTGGAATTGAGTCAATTTTATAAATTTTTCCTGAAAAAATTTAAATTTTGAATTTGTTTTCAAGTAACAATTCGTACAAATATAAATTCTGGCGAATAAACATTCGATGAAATAGAAATTCTGCTAAATAATAATTTGTTTAAATAAAAAATCTTTTTATTGTGAATACAGTTAAATATAAGTTTTGTCAAATAGAAATTATGTTACATGTGAATTCAGTTAAGACAAAATTTTGTAATTTAGTAGTATAAAAATTCGAGCTTATTTCGAAACGGTAGAAATTCAACCAAATTCAGTGTTGTGAATATTCATACATAACAGAATTTATACATGTAACATAACTCTTATTTAACCGAATTTTCATGAAGGAGAATTTTTATTCTAACAAATTTTTAATTTAACAAAAATCTCATGAAACGGAATTTCTATTTAGTATAATTTTCAAATAGTAGAAATTCCATTTCATCGAAACTCTATTTCATCGAATTGTTATTTCATAGAACTTTGAGAACGTCGAATTTTCATTTTATCGATATTGCAAATAGCCGAACAAACAAAAAATTTAGGCGCAAATTTTAAAGTTGACCAATAAGTAAATATTAAGAAAATCGTGATTGGTCAATTTTCAAATTCGCGCCGAAATCCTCCAATCGGCCATTTGCAATTTTAATGAACTGAAAATTCGACGTTTTCCAAGTTCTTTGATGTGACAATTCGATCAAATTGAGTTTCTATGAAAAAGGAAAAATATTTTAATTGTAAATTGGCCGAATTAAAAATTCTATTAAATAATAATTATAAAAATTATAATTATAATTTGTTCGACTGAAAATTCTCTCTTGAATGAAAATTTGGTTAAATAAAAGTTCAGTTTAATAGAAATTCTGTTAAAAATTGAGTTACATAAAATACTGTTAAGTGAATATTCAGATAAATGAAAATTCGATTTAAGATAAATTCATATAGATTAAAGTTCTTTTTCGTGAAAATTTGGATAAATATAAATTCTCTTAAACGAAAATTGCGTTAAATGAAAATTTAATGAATTAGAGAATCTGCTTTACAAAGTTCAGCTACAAAATTTTACGATATAAAAATTCTATTGAGTTTAAAAATTTATTTTATAAAATTCTGTTAAATATAAATTTGATAATTTTTAATTCAATACCTTAAAAATTCTAATAAATTCAATGTGTCCCTTTTCGACACAAAAATCATTAGTTCTAATTTTTATTTTCAACAATTTTAGCAGCTATAATTATTTTTAATTATTTTTATTTTTCGAATTATTATTTAATAGGATTTATTTTTAAACGAATTTTTAATATAATGTTTACGTACTGAATTTTTATTTGGCCGAATTCTTAAAGCGCCGATTTATCATTTGTCCGAAATGGCAATTGGTCGAACAAACAATCGAAAGAAAAATTTTGGTACGTTTTTTTAAAATTGAACAATGAGAAGTTATTAAGAAAAATTGTTATTGGTAAATTTTCAAAAGACGCCGAAATTTTTTTGTTTGTTCGGCCATTTACAATTTTGGGTAAATGGAAATTTTGGTGTCTTAAGAAACATAAATTACAATTCGTACAAACAAAAATTCGGACAAATGAAGATTTGTTGAATTTGAAAATTCTAAAATTAAAAAATTCAAATTGCTAACATTTCATAAATTTTTCCATTTTTGTTGAAATTTAGAAATTTTACACAAGTTTGTAAAATTTCCGATGAAGTTTATTAAATGTTTCACAGTTTTTGAAAGGTTTCATAAAAAATTTTCAAAGTTTCCATATGAATTTTTCTAAATGTTTTATAAATTTTTCAAAAAGGTTAAAAAAGAAAATAAAATTTCTATATATAGAATATTATTGAAAGCTTGCATAAGATTTAATAAAGTTTCTAGAATTTTTGTATGAAGCTTATAAAAAGCGTATTAATAAATTATTAATTATTAATTATTAATTTAACAAATGAATTTTGGATTTATTGTAAATTTTTTATAAAAATTTTTATTAATTTTTATTAAATTTCTTATAATAAATTATTAAAATTAAAAATTTATTTATAAATATTTACATATATCTATAATATATTAATTTATTAACAGGTCTTCTTTGCCATCTGGATGATGCTTGCACGTCAAATCCATGTCATCAAGGAGCTATTTGTGATACAAGTCCAATTAATGGTTCATTTACTTGTTCCTGTGCAAGTGGTTACAAAGGTCTGGATTGCTCTGAGGATATTGATGAATGTGAACAAGGTAAATTTTAATATTTCATATTAAATTGTGTTTTTATTTCCAGTATAATTATACAAAAAAAAGTCAATGAAAGATATAAAAAATGCTTTTTAAATTACATATCTAATAATGAATTATAAATAATAATAATAATAATAATAATAAATATTATTGTAATTTTTCAGGATCACCCTGTGAGCATGATGGTATTTGTGTAAATACTCCTGGTTCTTTTGCATGTAATTGTACACAAGGTTTCACTGGACCAAGATGTGAAACTAACGTCAACGAATGTGAATCACATCCTTGTCAAAATGATGGCTCCTGTCTAGATGATCCTGGGACATTTCGTTGTGTCTGCATGCCGGGTAAGTTAATTATAAAAAAATTTAATTTTAAAAAGAATTTTATTTTTCGAAATATTATAAAAATTTATTTTTAATAATTAAAAATGCAAATAGAAAACTATTTTTTAAACTATTTTTTTACTTTATTTTGTTGCCTTTTAAAATTTTGCGTCCGGGGTGATTGACCCGCTCGCTCTGCCCCTGACTGCGTTGCCAGACATTGTGAACGTTGCTCCCTGTATCATGAGAAATATTTTTTATTTTCGCAACTATTACATAGATATGACACTTTTTTTTTAACATTCATCACTTATCTATTTTCTATTATTAAAATTATGACCAATTTCTTAATGTTAAATGTTGAAAATCTATATTCTCGCGTATCTATAGGTCACACAAAAATATAACTACAGAAATTAAAAATTAATATATTTTTACATATATTAATTTTTTTTAATAATTATAATTTATAATAATTTTTTAATTATATTTATTTAAATTTTTATCTGATTAAAATATCTCCAATAATTGAATAAAATAATAATAATGATAATATTTGAAGAAAAGTTGGATACATTTTTTTTTTTTTGGAATCAACAAGAAAAAAAAAACGTTGAATTTTAAAATTCATCTCTATTGCTGAGATATTCAAATTTGTAGCAATCTGAATATTGTTGAATTTAATTCCGGTGCGAGAGTCTATCACGTGACAGCAAGTTCCCCTACTTTTGAAGGTGCGGACACCGTCGATTCCTATACATTTACTTTCACCACGATTTTCATGAATAAAAAAAAAGAATGCGATAACTTTGTCAATTCTTTGGCAAATAGTAAAATTCTCATAGTACAATATTAATAATAATAATATTCTTTTCGACATTAACCAATCATGTCGAAATTTTTTAGTTTAAAAATTTTTTTTTAAATTAATTTGAGAATCATTTTTTTTTTTTTGAATATTTTAATTCTAATTAGTAAATACAAAAATATTCTTAAAAAAAACTTAAATTAATGATCGTTTTTATTTCGTGGCGAAATTTTTATTTTATTTCCCTAAAATGCACTGAAAAAAAAAAATTATTTGGAATACTTGATTACTTGACTATTATCAAATAAATATTTACTTGAACCAAATAATTTTTATTTGAATGAAATAAATTCTATTTGAACAAATAATTTCTGTATTTGAAAGAAATACCATCTCAAATAATATAAGTATTTGATACAAATAAATATTTATTTGATAATAAAGTAACCGATTATTTGAATCAAATAAAAAATTTTTTTTTTAGTGTGAAAAAATTATAAAATAGAAATAAATCGAAAATTTATATCAGAATATTGAATATTGATAAAAGAAAAATTATAATTTAAAATAAAGGAGGTCACACTGGACTTAAAAAAAAAGCGGAACCCAACGTTTAGATAATTATGTGAAATTTGAAATTGAGGTGGTCAAAAACTATACTTATCTTGGTACTATTTTTAGTAACTCGGCTAATTTCGCAAATAATCTAAATTGATATTAAAAAAAAATAATTTAACAAAAATTGTTTGTATCCTTCAATTTTTTTTTTTGCAAAAATGAAAAAAAAACCACTTCCTTTTACATAAAATTTTAAGCCTAGTCCGGTTGTAGAGAAGAAAAATTTTTTTAGTACAAACTGTGACTCTTTCAAAATTTAATTATTTTGTAAAAATTAAATCTAAAAAGTTTATAAAAAATTAATTATTTTCAATAATTTTAATAAAATTTTTCCAAAATTAAATTATAGAAAATATTTTTCAATTCAAAATTCTTTAAAATTCAATTGCTGTCTAAATAATTAAAAAAAAAAAACGTTTTCAATTCGTATTTACAAAATTTTCCATTCAAAATTTTCTGTTGATTAATTATAAAAATCTGGACTTTTTAAAATTTCAATTATTTTTTTTTCTATTTAAAATTCTTCTATTATTTTTAATAATTTGAACGTAATTCTTCTAAAATTCAATTATTTGAAATATTTTTCTAAATATTAAATTTTTTTTTTTAATTTTCAATTATTGCCTGTAAGAAGAAATCTTCAATTATATTTTACTAAATTTTCATTTTAAAATCTCTTGAAATTCAATTATTTTCAAAAATCTTAAATATCTTTTACAAAACTCAATTATTTTTTAAATTATCTAAAATTCTTCGCCAAATTAATTATTTTCAATTAGTTGTTCTAATTCACAATTTTTTTTTATTTTACTTCATTTTATATTTTTTTTTATAAATCTACTAAAATTTTCGAAATTCTTGATTTGTCTCAGTTTAATTTTTTAATGTTTAAAAAAAATTTATGAGCAAAGAAAAAAAAAAAAATTTTGTATTAATATCTAATGGATTGAAAAAATTTTCTACTAAAAAATTAATTTCTGCTCATGAAAATAACTTTTTTTTGCTTGAAAATATTTATGGAAAAAAATTTGTTTTTAATATATATAGTAATTTATATTTTATTCTTTTCACAGTAAATGAAAGGTTATTTCAAATACACTATTGACAACTATTTCTAAAAATAATACTTATTTCAATTCCAATCGTCCGGTTTTTTACATATCGTCCGGTTTCCCATTAATCCGAATAACTGGAATTCTATTTTATTTAAAAATTATATTTATTATTTGAAAAAAAAAATGTATTGTAATTTAAATATTTTCTATAAATATTCAATTCGCAAACGTGCTATAAAGTTTAATAAAATTGAGAGAGACAGAAAAAGAGACAGAGAGAGAGAAAGCGAAAAAGAAAGAGTACTTTAGATATCTTAGCCACACCCACGTTCTCTTAGCACGTTTGCAAGATGTACAATAACAGCTCGTTCCCATGGAATAGCACCATTTGCCAATAGATCGGTCTTATTTTTGCAACCACGCTCCACATATGAAGCCGAGAATAAATAGTTCTCAAGATCATTATAATTATAGAATCGACTTAATAAATTATTTTTAATCTTAAATTTATTCATAAATTTTTTATAAAACCAAAAAAAAAAAAACAATTTTTTTTATCCAAAAAGGAAAAATTTATCTGCGATTTAGAAAAAGTTTTATTTGAAAAATGAAATTAATTGCTAAAAACACGAAAAAAATTGACTAAACTGAATTTTCGGTAAAAATAAATGGTTAGAATTTATTAATTTAAAAAATTTTATTAGATATAATTAATATTGTAAATTATTTTTCGAATTTTTATTAAACAGAATTTCAAGTGATTCGAATTTTTAAATACCAGAATTTTCCATTCAATGATTTTTTATTTGTCCAAATTTTTATTTATTCGAATTTATTTAAAATTATTTTCTTTATTTGATTTATTCGATAGAATTTTTAAAATGCTAAATTTCTATTTGTCCGAAATTGCAAATGACCGAAAAATAAACGCGAATTTTAAAAATTAACCAATCGGAAATTATCAAGAAAATTGTGATTGGTTAATTTTTAAATTGGCGCCAAATTCTTTCTGTCGATTGTATAATCGGCCATTTGCAATTTTGGTTAAATAAAAATTTTAATACATCAAATAACAATTGGTGGAAATAAAAAATTCGGACAAAGGAAAATTCTGGCATTTAAAAATTCGAAATTCTGCTCAATTAGAATTTTGGCAAATTAATATTCAGTTGAACTAGAATTTTTTAAATAAAAAGTTCATAAAGAAAAATTCTGTAAAATAAAAATTCTGTATCTAAAGTTTCTTAAAATAAATAAATATTAGAGTAATAAATTTATTTGGAAATAATTATTAATTGAAACATTAATTTTTTTTTTTAGGTTTCACTGGGACTCAGTGTGAGATTGACATTGATGAATGTGCAGCAAATCCCTGTCTAAACAATGGAGTATGCACAGACATGATAAATGGATTTAAATGTACTTGTTCAAATGGCTTTAAGGGAACACATTGTCAAGTTAATATTGACGATTGTGCTTCGTCGCCATGTCGAAATGGTGGTACATGCCAAGATTCAATTGCCAAATATACATGCGATTGTCCACCAGGATTTACTGGTGCATCATGTGAGACAAATATAAATGACTGTCAATCAAATCCTTGCCATAGTGGAACATGTATCGATGGTGAGAATTCATTCACCTGCAGTTGTTTCCCTGGTTTCACGGGAAATCTCTGTCAAACGCAAATCGACGAATGTGAAAGTAATCCATGCCAATTTGGTGGCCGGTGCGAAGATCGAATAAATGGATATCAATGTATTTGTCGGCCTGGTACATCGGGAATCAACTGTGAAGTAAATGTCAACGAATGTTACAGTAATCCATGTAGAAATGGCGCACGTTGCATTGATGGAATTAACAGGTTAATATCCAATTTTTATAATTCATTTTCTTTAGCAAACTTTAAATTAATCAATTTTTGGATAGAAAGAAATTTGGCTATGTTGTCACTAAATTAATACTTGATCTACAATGAAATTATGAAAGAAGAAAAGAAGAAGAAAGAAAAATAAAAGAAGAATGATGAATAATTTAAAAAAAAATGAATTTATTCATAAATTAAGAAATTCATTCGTTTAAGGAGGCATTGAATATAGTCAATTTTACAAATTTTTTCTCAAAAATTTACATTTGGAATTTTTTTTCAAATTCGTATAAATAAAAATTCTGACAAATAAAGTTTCGATGAAATAGAAATTCTGCTTTTTAAAAATTTGATTAAATAAAAAATCTACTAAAAGAAAATTTTGCTAAACAATAATTTGTTTAAATAAAATAATTTTTTTTCCTAAAAATACAGTTCAATATAAGTTTTGTCAAATTTCTTTTTTTAAAGAATTTTTAATTAACAGAATTTTTAGATAATTTTTATTTGGTAGAATTCTTAAAACACCGAATTTTTATTTGTCCGAAGTTGCAAATGGCCGAACAATCGATTTCGGCGCGATTTTTAAAATTCACCAATCACGATTTTCTTGACAACTTTTGATTGGTGAATTTTATAAATCGTGCAGAAAATTTTCTTTCGATTGTTTGTTCGGCCATTTACAATTTCGGAGAAATAAAAATTCGTCCTTTTTGAGAATTTTGTACAATAAAAATTCGTTTCATAAGAATTTTGTTAAGTAAAAATTTGTTTAAAAAGAAATTCTGTGAAATGTAAATTTGAAAAATGAAAATTTGTCTAAAAAATTTTAACTAATGGTTATTATGGGATAATAATGCACCCCATTAATTTCGAAATAGAAATTTAACCAAATAATTATAATAATAAATAATAACCAAATAAATAACTTATTTTTTATGTAACTGAATTTTCTTAAAGGAGAATTTTTATTTTAACAAATTTTAATTTAACAAAAATCACATAAAACGGAATTTCTATTTAGTATAATTTTCAAATAGTAGAATTTCCATTTCATCGTAACTCCATTTAATCGAATTGTTATTTCATAGAACTTTGAGAACGTCGAAATTTCATTTTGATCGAAATTGCAAATAGCCGAACAAACAAAATATTAGGCGCAAATTTTGAAGTTGACCAATAAGAAAATATTAAGAAAATCGTGATTGGTCAATTTTCAAATTCGCGCCAAATTCCTTCAATGTGTTGTTTTTTTTGGCCTTTTGTAATTTTAATTAACTGAAAATTCGACATTTTCAAAGTTCTTTGAAGTGACAATTCTATCAAATTGAGTTTCTATGAAAAAGACAAAAATATTCTATTTGAAAATTGGCCTATCTAGAAATTCTGTTAAATAATAATTTGTTCGACTGAAAATTCTCTTGAATGGAAATTTAGTTAAATATAAATTCAGTTTAATAGAAATTGTGTTAAAAATTAAATTAAATTATTTTAAATTAAAGTTCTTTTTCGTGAAAATTTGGATAAATATAAATTCTGTTAAACGAAAATTGCGGTTAATGAAAATTTAATGAATTAGAGAATCTGCTTTACAAAGTTCGGCTACAAAATTTTACAATATAAAAATTCTATTGAGTTTAAAATTTTTTTTTTTTTAAATTCTGTTAAATATAAATTTAATTTGATAGAATTTTTTTTCACTTTTTATGTGATAGAATTTCATTGGATAGAATTTTTTTTAGCCGAATTTATGTTTGTTGTAATTATTTTTTGACAGAATTTCCATTATTAATTTTCAATATTACAGAATTTTTATATAACCAAAAATTCCCTTCACAGAATTTGCATTTGTTCTAATTTTTATTTGACAGAACAGTCATTTGTTCGAGTAAACACGAAGCTGAAGTACGCAACGTTTATATAAACGATTTTTAAAGAAATAATTTTTTAAAATGAAAAATTCTATAATTTTTTGCCTAAAAAATATTTTTTTTATAATTTGTTGATTAATGAAAACTACAAGAAATATTTTTTAGGCAAAAAATTATAGAATTTTTCATTTTAAAAAATTATTTCTTTAAAAATCGTTTATATAAACGTTGCGTACTTCAGCTTCGTGAGTAAACGAAATATTTCGGCGCAAATTTTCAAATTAACCAATAAGAAATTACTGAGAAAATTTTTGAAATTCGTGCCGAAATCTTTGTTGAATTTTTATTTAAGCGAATGAAAGTTCTCTGTAATAAAAATTCAATTAATGAATTTTTGGTTTCGGTTGTTAAAAATTGAAAAAATAATCAATCTTTATTGATAAATTTGGAAAAACGTTCATTTAAAGACTGAACTAATATATAATTTTTTGTATTGTAGATATTCTTGTGAATGTGAACCTGGATTCACTGGTCAACATTGTGAGACAGATATAAATGAATGCGCCAGTAATCCATGCGCTAATGGTGGTCGCTGCATAGATTTAATAAATGGATTTAGATGTGAATGTCCAAGGGGTTATTATGATGCACGATGTTTAAGTGACGTTGATGAATGCGCAAGTAATCCCTGTGTCAATAATGGAACGTGTGAGGATGGTGTTAATCAATTTATTTGCCATTGTTTGCCTGGTTACGGTGGCAAAAGATGTGAAGCCGATATCGATGAATGTGGCTCAAATCCATGTCAACACGGTGGAATATGTAACGATCATTTAGATGGATACAGCTGTCAATGTTTAGCTGGATATTCTGGCACAAATTGTGAAACTAACATTGACGATTGCGCAAATAGTCCCTGTCAAAATGGTGGCTCTTGCATTGATCTTGTTAATGATTACAAATGCGTTTGTGAATTACCGCACACTGGCAGAAATTGTGAAGATAAACTTGATCCTTGTTCACCTAATAGGTATTGTATTGGAATAAAAAATTATTCCTTTTTAATTACGAACTATTTTAAATTTAGTAATTAATTTTTAATATTCATTTTTATTCATTCATAAATTGTTTTTTTTTTTACAGATGTCTTCATGGTGCTAAGTGTTCTCCATCGTCAAACTTCCTTGATTTCGCTTGTACTTGTACTGTTGGCTACACTGGACGACTTTGCGACGAAGATGTTAATGAGTGTATCATGACCTCACCTTGTAGAAATGGTGCAACATGTAGAAATACAAATGGATCTTATCATTGCGTTTGCGCTAAGGGATACGAAGGACGAGACTGCATTATAAATACTGATGATTGTGCTTCATGTTAGTATAAAAACAAGATTCATTTATATAAATATTTATTATATTATATTGTTATTTATTATTTCAGATCAAATTTACAATCTAAAGCTCTCCTACAATTTTAAATAAGGCCCCCTGTTGCTAATTTCACTCTTTCAGAAATCACAACGAAATTTCCTTTAAATTTACAAAACTTCTCCCATTTCCATTCATTTTTTATTAATTAGGATGGTCGTGTTCGTCTTTTTTTTAATATTACCACCGTCAAACAAGTTATTTTCTTCTTTTTAGAACAATTTTTACCTATTTTTTCATCAGTTTATTATCACAACACACAAGGCCTAAGTATCCAAGTAAATTAAAGATTCCCTTCTTTTCAACGAAAACGACAAAAATTAACAAAAACTACAACGTTAGTTTCAACAAATTAATTAAAAATAAATCCCAAAAAACCAAAAAAAAAACTATTAACCATGATGTTAATATATAAAAATTTTTATGCCGGATTAAATGAATCGTTTTGGTATCGATTTCTGCAATTTAATTAAACCGTAGGAGAGTTTATAGTATTTTTATGTAACTGAAGTCAGATTTAACAGAATTTATATTTAACACTTTTATTTAATCAAATTTTAATTAAACAGAACTTTTATTTCAACGAATTACTATTTTTTACAATTCTTATTTAATAAAATTTCTAGTTATAGAAATTTTTCATTGGAGAAATGTTATTTGATCGAATCTTCATTTGATATAACTTTTATATCCTTGAATCGTAATTTGATATAATTATTAAGTTATCGAAATTAAATTGGATCGGAATTGCAAATGGCCGAAATATATTCTTTAAGCGCGAATTTTAAAATTTGATCAATAAAAAATTATCAAATAAATTGTGATTGGAGAATTTTAAAATTATCGTTTAAAGAATTCATTTCGACCATTTGCAGTTTATGTTTAATTCAATTCAGGTAACTTGAAAATTATATCAAATTACAATTCGAGGAAATAAAAATTACATCAAATAAAGATTCGATCAGATATATATATGATGAAGTGTTCTATTCTTCTGTTAATTAAGAGCAGAAATTAAAATAGCACTGTTTTTGACCTATTTTTACGAAAAATAAAAACGAAAACGTCTGCAATTTAATTTCCGCTCTAATTTTACGCAAAGGTAGAGTAAAAACGGCGCCATTTTAATTTCTGCTCCAGTTTTACGTAAAAGTAGAGCCAAAACGGCGCCATTTTAATTTCTGCCCAACTTTTTTCCGTAAAACTATGACAAAAATTAAAATGGCACTGTTTTTGACCTATTTTTACAAAAAATTAAAACAAAAAACGTCGGCTTTTTAATTTCTGCTCTAGTTTTATGTAAAAGTAAAGCCAATACGGGACTATTTTAATTTCTGCTCTAGTTGTTCGTAAAAACAGAGCCATCCAAATTTCTGCCATATTTTTACGGAAAAATAGAGCAAAAACCATGCAATTTTAATTTCTGTTCAAATTTTTTACGTAAAACTATGGCAGAAATTAAAATGGCACCGTTTTTGACCTAGTTTTAAGAAAAATTAAAACAAAAACGTCGGCATTTTAATTTCTGCTCTAGTTTTACGTAAAAGTAAAGCCAAAACGACGCCATTTTTATTTCTGCTCAAGTTGTTCGTAAAAATAGAGTAAAAACAGAGCCATCAAAATTTCTGCCATATTTTTACGGAAAAATAGAGCAAAAAACCATGCAATTTTAATTTCTGTTCAAATTTTTTACGTAAAACTATGGCAGAAATTAAAATGGCACCGTTTTGACCTAGTTTTACGAAAAATTAAAACAAAAACCTCTGCCTTTTAATTTCCGCTCTAATTTTACGCAAAATTAGAGCAAAAACGTCGACATTTTAATTTCTACTCTAGTTTTTATTAAAAATTTAAGCTAACACGACGCCGTTTTAATTTTTACCCTATTTTTATTAAAAACTAAAGCAGAAATTAAAATAACCCCGTTTTTGCCATATTTTTACGAAATGTTAAAGCTAAAATTAAAATAGTAGCGTTTTGCTCTAATTTTTATAATTTGTTACGAAATTCCATGACTTTTCCCAAAAAAAAATCAATTTCATTACGTTTCCCTGACCTAGGGAATTTCCCTAACTGTTAAGACACCCTGAAAAATATTGTAATTAATTTAAAAAGATTATTAAATGATTATTATTTTGTTTACAGTTCCCTGTCAGAATGGTGGAACATGCTTAGATGGAATTGGAGACTACACGTGCCTTTGTGTCGATGGTTTCAGTGGTAAACATTGCGAAGTTGATGTTGACGAATGTATCTCAGCGCCATGTCAAAATGGAGCAACATGCAAAGAATACGTGAATTCATATGCATGTCAATGTCAATTGGGCTTCTCTGGTATAAATTGTCAAACAAACGACGAGGATTGCACAGACAGTAGTTGTATGAATGGAGGGAAATGTATCGATGGAATTAATAATTTCACATGTGTTTGTCAACCTGGTTATACGGGATCAAATTGTCAATACAGAATCAATGAATGTGACAGTTCACCATGTTTAAATGCAGCTACTTGTCACGATCATGTGACACACTACACTTGTCATTGTCCCTATGGTTACACTGGACAGCGTTGTGATGAATTTGTTGATTGGTGTGCGGATAATCCTTGCGAAAATCAAGCCACATGCGTGCAACATAAAAATAAATATCATTGCACATGTTCGCCAGGTTGGACGGGTAAAGTGTGTGACGTTGAAATGGTTTCCTGTAAGGATGCAGCAACCAGAAAAGGAGTTGTTGAGAAGAATTTATGCAATAACGGTACTTGCGAGGACATTGGAAATAGCCATCGATGCCATTGTATGGAGGGTTACACGGGATCCTATTGTCAGGAGGAGATCGATGAATGTGAATCGGCACCTTGTCAAAATGGTGCAATTTGCAAGGATTCAATTGGTTCCTATCAGTGTATTTGTACCGAGGGATTCCAGGGTCAAAATTGTGAACTTAATATCGATGACTGTAGACCAAATCCATGTCAAAATGGAGGCACTTGTCATGATCTTATTCACGACTTTAGTTGTTCGTGTCCATCGGGAACATTGGGAATTATTTGCGATATCAATATTGATGATTGTGTCGTTGGCGCTTGTCATAATAATGGAACTTGTACGGACAAAGTTGGTGGTTTTGATTGTAGATGTTCGCCTGGTTTTGTGGGACCAAGATGTGAGGGTGACATTAATGAATGTCTTTCTAATCCTTGTGCAGCGCCGGGAACACAGGACTGCGTTCAATTAATCAACAACTATCACTGTAATTGCAAGCCTGGCTATATGGGTCGACATTGTGAAATAAAAGTCAACTTCTGCGATAGTTCACCATGTCAAAATGGTGGCGTTTGCACTGCCAAACAAGCGGGTCACACATGCCTCTGTCCACGTGATTACTATGGTCACAATTGTGAATTCGTTGGTTCGTATTGTGACACTGAACCATGTCTCAATGGTGGAACTTGTAGAATTATTGACAATGAAGTTGGCTACAAATGTAATTGTCCACCGGGTTCTGCGGGAACACATTGTGAAATTGATTCAAGAAATGAATGTGCCAGTAATCCTTGTCAACAATCGGGTGTTATTTGTGAAGATCTTATTGGTGATTATGCATGTTATTGTCCACCAAAATGGACGGGTAAAAATTGTGAAATTTATGACGCCAATTATAGAGGAGGAAATGGAAGACAAGACACAAAGGGTAGAATAAATCAAAAAGGATCTAAAGTTATACCCAATGATTATGATATGGATTTAGAACGTGAGAGAAAGAAATGCATTGAAAATCGATGTGAAGAAAAATCTGGAAACTATCATTGTGATGAAGAGTGCAATAAATATGCCTGTAACTTTGATGGAAATGATTGTTCTCTTGGAATTAATCCATGGAGAAATTGTACGGCTCCAATAAATTGTTGGGATGTTTTTATGAACGATGTTTGTGATGAAGTATGCAATAATGTTCAATGTCTTTTTGATGGTCGAGACTGCGAAAAGAAACTTCAACCTTGCAAGTAAGTTTCCTTTTTAATATTATTTATTTTATTATTAATTTACATTAACTAATTGATTGATTTTATTTTCAGTCCAATTTACGATGCCTACTGTAGAAAACATTATGCCAATGGTTACTGTGATTATGGATGCAATAATGCCGAGTGTAACTGGGATGGTTTGGATTGTGATACAGAACCACCGTCAATTGCAGAGGGAGTTATATCAGTGGTGGTGAGAATGGATATGCAAACTTTTAGATCAAATGTTGTTGCTTTCTTGAGGGATATTGGACATGAGCTGAGAACAACATTGAGGATAAAGCAAGACGAACTTGGAAATGACATGATATATCCTTGGAAGAGAGATCGTGATTCTGGTATTGAAACGAATTTCTTTGGTAGACCAACAACAATATACACTGACAAACAGAATGGAATAGTTGCTTATTTGGAGATAGATAATCGAAAATGTAGTTCAACTGACGGTGGAGTTTGTTTTCTTTCTGCACATGAAGCAGCGGAGTATTTGGCAGCCACCGCGTCAAAACATTCACTTTCGAGAAATTTTCCCATTGAGGAAGTTCGTGGTGTACAAACGGGACAGGATCCTGAATATTCGGATTCGGCGACAAATTATCAATATGTTTTTATTGGGGTTATAATTGTCGTACTGAGTGGAATGTTGGTGGGTGTATTGGTTACGGCGCAAAGAAAACGTGCGGTGGGTGTCACATGGTTTCCGGAAGGTTTCTTGAGAGCGAATACAGGAAGTGGACCACGTCGCAGATCTAGACGACGGGGACCTGATGGACAGGAAATGAGGAATTTGAATAAACAACCATCGTTGAATTGTATGGATTTGGATGTTAGTAATGGTAGAGTACAACAGTGGTCGGATGATGAGTCGGATTTACCACCTTCGAAACGAATGCGAGCTATTGAACCCGGATATGCTAGTGATCATACGGCAATTACTGATTATGAGGAAACGGAACCGAGAATGTGGACTCAGCAACATTTGGATGCGGCTGAAATTCGGAGACAAGATGCCGGTGTTCTTACGCCGCCGAGTTTGGAACATGGACAGGATATTGATGCCCGAGGTCCTTGTGGTATGACTCCATTGATGGTGGCGGCAGTTCGCGGTGGTGGACTCGACACTGGTGAAGAGGAAGACGAAAGCGATGGAACTGCGGCTGTTATAGCTGATCTCGTAGCACAAGGAGCGGATCTAAATGCCACAACTGACAAAAGTGGAGAAACGTCTCTTCATCTCGCAGCAAGATACGCGAGAGCTGATGCTGCCAAAAGGCTCCTGGACGCTGGTGCCGATGCCAATTCACAGGATAACACTGGTCGAACTCCACTTCATTCTGCAGTTGCAGCCGATGCAATGGGAGTGTTTCAAATTCTTCTCCGTAATAGAGCAACTAATCTTAATGCAAGAATGCACGATGGTACAACTCCTTTGATATTGGCAGCACGTCTCGCCACTGAAGGAATGGTGGAAGATTTAATTAACGCCGACGCTGATATAAATGCAGCGGACAATAGCGGGAAAACTGCTCTTCATTGGGCAGCAGCAGTTAATAATGAAGACGCTGTAAATAAACTCCTACTGCACAGCGCAAACAGAGATGCACAAGACGATAAAGATGAAACACCACTGTTTCTCGCTGCTAGGGAAGGCAGCTACGAAGCTTGTAAAGCTTTATTGGAATGGTCTGCCAACAGGGAAATCACCGATCACATGGATCGACTGCCCAGAGATGTCGCGAGTGAGAGGCTTCATCACGACATTGTTAGATTACTAGACGAACATCTTCCGAGATCGCCACAAATCATCAACGTTATACCAAATGGCCCACTAATGGGTAAGTGTCTCTTTTATGTCTACACTTCTGTGTATATTCTTTTGCTTATTATTATTATTATTATTACTTTTCAGGCTCTCCCAATCATCATCAACTCATCACACATCCAACAGTAATTGGCTCAGCGCAAAAACAAACAAAATCAAAGAAAAGACCGAAGGCTTCCTCGGGAAATCCAAGCAGCCCCGATTCCGAGGGGGGAATTATAGCGGTCAGGCGAAAACCTTCTCTGAAGAAAGCACCTGTCAAACGAGGAGCACAACCTCCAAATCAAGACATTCCTCAGGGAGCAGAGGGAGCCGAAGGCAATTTACCAAGTCCCTACGACAGCGCCAGTCTCTACAGCAATGCATTGCCATTGACTGTCAGTCACACAACAACGTCAAAACAACCACCGCCTTATGAAGACTGTATAAAAAATCAGTCAATTCAGGGTTTACAACAATTGGGCTTGGATACATTCACAAATAATTTTAGTTTGCCAAATTTTCACGATCAACTATTAGCTCCCCATCAGCGACAAACTCAGGGAATTGTAAATACCCTCTCTCCACCTTATAGTAATCAATCGCCTCCCCATTCGGTGCAGTCAAATATGACCCTATCGCCACAAGCGAGTTACATGGGTTCACCATCGCCTGCAAAAAGTAGGCCATCATTACCCACATCCCCAACGCATATTGCCGCCATGAGACAAGCCACACATCAAAAACATGGAATTCCCTCTGTGGGTTTTGATTTTGATACACTATCATATCCCTCAACACAACAGCAACAACCGATGCAACAACAAATTCAACAACAACAAACGCAACAGCAACCAACACAGCAATACTATCAATATTTAACACCACCTTCACATCATTCAGGACCCGATGTTACACCCCAACATCTTATGCAAGCACCCGAAAGCTTTCCCACACCTTCACCTGACAGCCCCGGTCACTGGTCCTCAAGTTCACCTCGATCAAATAGCGATTGGTCTGAATGCATGGCATCACCAAATGCATATGGATCCAGTGGAGGACACCAAAGCAATAAAGGCTCAGAAGCTATTTACATATAAAAAACAAAAAAAAATTTCCCCTTAATTCATTTTTTCTAGATCTGTGATTCTCTACGACAAGGAGAGAGAGAGAAAAAAAAAAGTTTCCCCGACTTAGCAATTTAAAAAAAAATGAGAATTTTCCACATTTCTGTTATAAATAGAATATCATTCTCATTACCGTGCCTCTCTAATTATAAAGCTAGCTTGAAATTAAGACTCTTTTTTATCTTTTTTTTTTATATCTTTTAAGATATTGTAGTTTCAAAATTCAGCTCAATTGGTGCCTTTGACTTGCCAGACTAAGGACCCTATACAACGCAAACATGACAATAATAATTAAGCTCTTGTTACTATGATGTTATGATTGTAAATAGTAATTTAAGAGAGTTCATTTCTCGTAGAAATGTTCCAATTAGAAAATATTTTCAAAATATATTTAATTATTTTTATTATTATTATTATTATTATTATTATTATTTACGCACTATAATTGTTGCGTAGCGTACATAACAAGAACGGATATTTTTGGATTATCTCCAATGTGACTAAGATTGGAAACTTCTTTTTCCAATCTTTTTTCTAGTTTAAAGAAATTGTAATCCTAGAGAAAAAGTAATTTTTTTTATTGAAAAGCATACATTAAAAATGTTCATCTAAAAATAGGGTAACTTTTTTTTTTTGGTTTTCGTGCGGGTAGCATCTAATTTTTAGATTTATACAATTGCAATGTCAAAAAAAATTCGATTATCTATTTTTTTTTATAGATTTTAAAAATAACCATTGAATATTTTTTATATGCTCCAAAGCATTTTTTTCACACTAATTCTGTTTCTTGTTTACAAGTAATAAAAATTAGAAATATTAATGCGAAATATGTATAAACGCTGATTTTTTTTTTATAATAGATTAAATTAATATGAACATATCTTAAATATGTTGAATTTTTTTACGAAAAAAAAATTTTTTGTAGAGCATAATAAACTTTGTTTTTTTTTTTAAATAAATATTAATTGTCAGACTTGAATAATTTTACAAACAGACGGATAACTGTAAAACACTTGGTTACTGTGAAATTAAGAACAAACGTGTATAGAAATCGATTTTGATTTAAATTTAAATTATAATGCAAAAAAAAAATAAAATAAAATAAACTATCAATTATTAGAAATGATGTTCAACATTAAAATAATTTCATAATACTCCCAACTTGTTTCGAACGATTATTGTTTCTTATGAAGTAGTTTAAAATGTAAAATAAAATATAACATTTTAAAGAAAAAAAAAAAATTTTTTCTTTTAAAATCACCTTTCAATGTACACCTCTACTGAACAATTTTAAGTCTCATCAAAATGGTGCCATTAGATAATCATTGGATTTTTTTAAATACATAAAAAGGGGGTTTAAAGTCGGGAGACGCATGAATTTTATCCAAATTTCAAATAACCTAACACTGAATTAATCTAAATTTTATTGAAGGATTTTATTAAGGTTTAATTCTCATTTGGTCTAATCTTAATGAAACCTCATTCTCATTTGGCCTAATCTTCATTTGGTCTAATCCTAATTTGAACTAATCGTCATTTGTCCTAATTCTCATTTGGTCCAATCCTAATTTGAACTAATCGTCATTTGTCCTAATTCTCATTTGGTCCAATCCTAATTTGAACTAATCGTCATTTGTCCTAATTCTCATTTGGTCCAATCCTAATTTGAACTAATCGTCATTTGTCCTAATTCTCATTTGGTCCAATCCTAATTTGAACTAATCGTCATTTGTCCTAATTCTCATTTGGTCCAATCCTAATTTGAACTATTCGTCATTTGTCCTAATTCTCATTTGGTCTAATCCTAATTTGAACTAATCGTCATTTGTCCTAATTCTCATTTGGTCTAATCTTAATGAAACCTAATTCTCATTTGGTCTAATCTTAATGAAACCTATTTCTCATTTGGCCTAATCCTCATTTGATCTAATCCTAATTTGAACTAATCGTCATTTGTCCTAATTTTCATTTGGCCTAATCTTCATTTGATCTAATCCTAATTTGAACTAATCGTCATATGTCCTAATTCTCATTTGGTCTAATCCTAATTTGAACTAATCGTCATCTGTCCTAATTCTCATTTGGTCTAATCTTAATGACACCTAATTCTCATTTGGTCTAATCGTAATGAAACTTAATTCTTATTTGACTTAATATTTATCTGCCCTAATTCTCATTTGGCCTAAAATTTCTGAATCTGTTCTAATATTAATCTAACCTGATTCACAATTGCCCTAATCTTAAGGCGATTCCAGAATAAGTGCAAAAGGCAAATGCAAATACAAGTCCAAATGCAAATCCCATGAGTGCAAGAGAGATAGATGGACTACCTATCTCTTTCGCACTCATGAGATTGGCACTTGGACTTGCACTTGTATTTGGCTTTTGCACCTATTGTAGAACCTCCTTTAATATAACCTAATTCTCAATTGCCCTAATCCTGATTTGATCTAATTCTCCACTTGGCCTAAACTTTATTTGTCATCTGTTCATGAATGCGAAGCATGAGAGGTAAAAAAGGAATTATTGAGCAAGCCGTCTGCTCGCAATTGTCCAAATAACATCTGGACAATTGGACTGCTTGCTCAATCATTCAATACATTAGACCCAATCAACTTACACATATTTAGAGGCTACGCAAAGGAAAAAATTTCCCATTATAATTACACAATTATTTCCATTGCTAAGCGTGTATCCTTCAAAAGCGATTGTAGGCAGTAAATCCTGCGACAAAATTTCTTAGAGAAAAAATGTTGTTTCTAAGACGCTTACAAATAAAATTTATTGGCTGTAATATCGTCCTATCTAGCAACGATCATTTCCTCAACGTTGCATTAACCATTTCTTGATCGCGAGGATCGGGAAATCATTTCCTATAGTCGTTTCCAAATCATCATAAATAAAAATTAATTTTATTTACAGTTTTATTTGCTAAAACTTTTTAATTTGAGGTTATGTTAATGGGCTAAGCCATTGATCTCTAATACCTCTAAAGGAGGTTCCAGAACTGGAACAAAAGGCAAGTGTAAGTCCAAAAAAACCATGAGTGCAAGAGAGATAGCCAGATGTCCTATCTCTCTTGCACATATAGCAGGCTTTGCACTCTTCGACTAAAAGCTACTATTTGCTACTTTTTTGATGGTTGGCTACTTTTTTCAACCTTAGGCTACTAAAAGCTACTTTTCCACTACTTAGACAACTTTTTGTTACTTTTTTGCCGACTTTTCAAAACCTGTATATGGTTTTAAGTAATTTTAAATAGCACACAAAAATTGAATCTATAAAGTGCTGAATATATTGCGGTTACTTTAACCCATTTAAATTTATGAAAAAACTGTGAAAAATTGGTATTAAATCAGTTCTTTAAATTTCAAATATGCCTAAAAAAATATTCATTAAAAATTTAAAGATTTTAAAATTTTCTAGAAATTAGAAGAAAATAAAAAAACTAGATAAAAATAAATATCTAAATAAAAATAAAAATAAACTAGATAAATAAAAAACTAGAAATTAAGAAAATAGAGTGATTTATCCCCACCACCGAAATATATATAGATAACCGGCTATTTTTCACAGTTTTACATAAATGTTAATGCGCTAGGTTAAAGTAACCGCAAGATATTTAGCACCTTGTAGATCCAATTTTTGTGACATTTTTGTGTGCTGTTTAAACTTACTTACTTTCACAGACCAACTTTGAAAACATATTTTATCTATTATTTTCATTTTTTCACTTAATTAACAAACCCCCACAAAAAAAAATTTTGTCCGGCAAAATAGACTAGTCATTCTTACGTATTTTTGGTCACTGAATCCGAATCCGGGGTCAGAATTTAAAAGTTGATTCTTATTTTTAAGATAAACTCAAAAAACTGCTTAAAAAAGAAAAAAAAATCAAAAAGTAAAAAAATTTTTGTATGACACTGCGATAGTGTAATTTCATGTATTTTTAGTCACTGATTCCGAATCCAAAGTTAGAATTATTAGATTTGCTGAAATGTTTTGAGATAATTGCAAAAAACTCAATAAACAAAAATTCAAAAAAAACTCAAAATCAGTTTTTTGGCATTATCTTCAAAATTTAAGCTTATCTCTCAATTCTGACTTCGAATTCGAATTCAGTGGAAAAAAGTACAATGTACATGGAAATAAAATATCGTAGTGTTTCGGCAAAAAATTATCTTTGTCCCTAATTCAGGATTTTTTGCGATTATCTCTAAGAACTAAGACGTAAGAATGACTAGTCTATTTCGCTGGACAAAATTAATTTTTTTTCTGAGGCTGTGTAATCAATAAAAGATAATAAATTAATTAATTCTGAACAAGAGCCAGTAATACATATTGTACATTTTAAAAGAGTTGTCTATATTTTTAATAATCTTTCTAATTGCTGAAAAAGTGAGTTTTCCATATCTTCTCCATTTTAAACTCATATTTCAAGATAAATAATAAAAATTTTGACTTAATTGTTTTTATTTCGTTCTCTAAATATCATTCAGAATCATTTCGGAAAGTATCTATTTTTTAAAAAATTAGGCCTTAACGACTTTTGATATATAAAATATAATGGATTGAGCCAAAAATTTGTAATTACCTCTATTGCCATTTAAATGTTCGAAAATTCTTTACTTTTATGGTATAATTTTCATTTTTTATACCCTAAAAACTAAGTATTATGCAAATTATTATGTAAATTAAGTGTTGAAATTTAATTTTTTTAAATTAAATACAATTTAATATATAAACTACATATATTTTAAATTTTTTCCGTAGGCTACTTTTTTTACTTTTCAGGCTACTTTTTGCTAATATTTTTTTTACTGACTAATGAGTGCAAAGCCTGTTATGGTTTTTTTTTGGACTTGCACTTGCCTTTTGCTCCTACTCTGGAACTGCCTTGATAATGCTGCAGGTGTAACGTGAGACATAGCGGCCATCTTGGATTGTAGTATAAGTAAAAATTGTGGCGCGCAAGTCAAGTGCACAGAAAGAAATTTCTCACTTTAAAAGTACCAATACTGTACTAGCGATTTTCGTATGTCCGTTTTCTTAACAAAAACGCTATATTAGTACGTGCCTTGAACGAATATAGAAGAATCTTCGAAACTTTATCTCTTGGGAACAACCCAAACTATTTTAGTATGTCCAAAAGAGTGGTATTGGTATAAATTTTATGCTATTAATGTCGCAATAGATGTTTTACTAAATGAGTAAGTAGTTTTCATACGAAATTAGGGAGAAATTACGAAAACATTTGTGTTTATTGTCATTAGTTGAAATAATTCATATTTATTTATTGAAAAACAATATTTTAAATGATAAAATTTCTTTTTCCATTTGGAAGAATTTGTTGCCAAAATTTTGGGCAAACACTACAAAAAAAGTAGCGAACACTATCACCGGTAACGCAATTGTTAGTCAAAAATTTTTTCAGTGCACGTTCCTCTCATGCCATTGCCTATATCCAAAGGTAGAAGGTAAGTGTATATGAATTACTGCTGATGCGCCAATTACTGCGATTTTTATAAATTTAGTAAAACTTAGTAATTGAAAATATAAAACTGTTTCAAAATGACTTTTAAAATTTATTCCAAATGATATTTGATATTATATATCCACTAATGATGCATATTTCGACTATTATCAAATTATTTATTCAATAAGTTACAATTGAACCTATCACAGTAATTAGAGCATACGTATATTTTTCTCATGCTGCTATTACTGTGGTCTATCGAGTCAACCTAACCTCTAAATCAACACTTTTAGCGTTGCAGTAATTGGTGCACACTATTCGCAGTAATTCATGCAAACTTGCATTAATACCAGCATATGCCATTTTTAAAAAAGTTAATATTTTTAATATTATATTTGTTATTTCTTCAAGTTTAAAGTATCGTTTCTATTTTAATAGACACTAATAGTGATTTAACAAAAAGAATTAAATCATTATTTCATTTACACTTTTATTATTTTATCATTAAAGTCGGTATTGGGTTGTACATCACAGTAATTGGGACATTTTACCCTATAAAGATCAGTGATGTCCGTTTTTGGAAATGATAGGTCGGTAAATAAAACAAAATTCGGTGAAAGAAGTAGCCTTCTGCAAGAAATCGGCAGATGGGGCTAGTAGATATTGTCTGCCAGAGGTTTTCTGCAACACGGTTGCTGCTTAACGTAAAGATTGGTTATCCGCTGAGCAGGTAATGTAGGTATCTTTTCGCCTAGAAACTAATGTA